CTCGTGACACAACCACCCGTGACTCTAACGATAACCTCTGGTGCACCTATTGCAAGAAGCCCAGACACACAAAAGATCGCTGTTGGAAACTTCATGGGAAACCTCCCACATCCAACAAGGAATGGGGCAATCGAGGAGTTTCGAAAGTAGTTCAACAGGCCCATAACGTCTCCACAATCCCGCAACAAGAGCACTCAAGTCAGGGGCTATTTAATGATGAAGAAATTGAAAGACTAAGGGGTTTCCTGGGATCCTTGAAACCAGGAAGTGGTTCTCCCTCTCTTGCTCTCTCGGGTGAGTCTTTATCTCTAGGATTACATGTCTCGGCTAGTGTTTTTCCATGGATTCTTGATTTTGGAGCTACTGACCACATGAYACCCTCTTCACTACATTTTCTCACCTATACACCCTGTCCTAGTAGTAGGAAAATTTCTGTTGCTGATGGTTCTTTCACCACAGTGGCAGGAACTGGAAATATTTAGATTACTCTATCCCTATTACTTAAAAATGTGCTTCGTGTTCCTAAGTTATCCACTAGCCTTATCTCTATACATAAACTCACCCAGGATGTGAACTACAATGTTGTGTTCTTTCCTTCTTACTGTGTATTTTAGGACCAGGTTTCGGGGAAGAAGATTGGACTTGCTAAGAAAAGGGATGGGACTCTACTACCTTGAAGCAACCAGCAAACCATCTCACACTGTTATGCATGTCACACACGAGTCATTCTTATCTACCTCCAATAAAGATTTAATTTGGCGTCATCACTTTCGTTTCGGTCATCCTTCATTTTCTGTTTTAAAAACAATGTTTCCTTCCTTGTTTAAAGGGATTGATGTTGAAACCTTTCATTGTGAAGTTTGTGAATTTGCTAAACACAAAAGGGTATTTTTCCCAATCAGCAATAAAAGATCTTCAACTCCTTTTTATTTGATTCATTCGGATATATGGGGCCCTTCTCAAATTCCCAACATTACTGGTTCTAGATGGTTCGTCACCTTKATTGAYGATTGCACTAGGGTCACATGGATTTTTCTTCTTAAGTCTAAATCTGATGTGGGYAYSATTCTTCCCAACTTYCATAACATGGTCCAAACTCAGTTTGGTGTGARAATTAAAAGGTTTCGATCTGATAATGCTACADATTATTTTAATCAGAATTTGTCCCCATTTTTCCAGAAAGAAGGCATTGTGCATGAATCCTCCTATGTTAACACTCTCCAAAAGAATGGGGTATTTGAGAGGAAAAATGGCCATCTATTGCAAACCACCCAAGCCTTTCTCTTTCAAAATTGGGTCCCAAAACAATATTGGGGGGAAGCTGTCCTTACCACTGCATACACCATAAATAGACTACCATCTWAAGTTCTTGACAACCGAAGCTCAATACAAGTCCTCTCTCAATTCTACCCTGATATTCGAACCTCAAATAATCTCACACCAAGAATTTTTGGTTGCACTGCCTTTGTTCATGTCCATAATAAGGGAAAATTAGATCCACGAGCAATCAGGTGTGTCTTCTTGGGATATTCCCCAACTCAGAAAGGTTAYAARTGTTATCATCCAGCCACCAGAAAATTCTACACCTCCATCGATGTCACGTTTGAGGAGAGACAATCCTTTTTCACTCAACCTTATCTTTAGAGGGAGCCCTCATTAATGGAAGATAAGGCCTTGGATCTACTCTCCCTAGATGTATTACCCTCCACACAGTCATCCAACTGTCAAGAATCACATCCTTTTGAGTCACATTCCTCTGAGCCCCATATTTCCGAGCCTCAACAAGAGTCAAACAACCCGACTATTGAACCAAATCTAGACACTATTAACCCCACCAATGATGTGCATGATGATGTGAGATATATGCAGGTTTACTCTAGGAGAAGAAATCCAGATCCTCAACTTGTGCAAGTCCAAGATTCAATTCCTAATCCTAGAACCGAGGGATGTTCAGAACCTGAACTTGTACCTTCACAGTCTGAGTATGAGTATGACCTACCTATTGCCCCGAGAAAAGGAACCAGAGAATGTACCAAAYGCCCATTGTACCCTTTAGCCAAATCTGTGTCGTTCCAAAGATTCTCTGAACCCCATAAAAGTTTTCTAGCCAGCCTTAACACCATTCCAATTCCTAATACTCTAGCTGAGGCACTTTCTAATAAGGAGTGGAGAAAAGCCATGAGAGTGGAAATGGAGGCACTAGAAAAGAACAACACGTGGGAAGTTGTGGATCTAACGAGAAACAAGAAGGTTGTAGGATGTACATGGGTGTTCACGATTAAGTACAAATCTGATGGGTCATTAGAAAGGTACAAAGCACGACTGGTAGCCAAGGGATATACACAGACTTATAGGGTAGATTATCAGGAGACTTTTGCCCCAATAGCTAAAATGAATACAATAAGGGTGTTGTTGTCTTTGGCTGCTAACTATAATTGGGATTTGCAAYAGTTTGATGTAAAGAATGYRTTTCTCCATGGTGATCTAGAAGAGGAGATATACATGGACATTCCACCGGGTTTTGGAGAAGGCATTAAAGGGTACAAAGTTTGTAGGTTGAAGAAAGCACTATACGATCTCAAACAGTCTCCGAGAGCATGGTTTGAAAGGTTTACAAAGGTGATGCTTAGTATAGGTTACAAGCAAAGTCAAGGTGACCACACATTGTTTCTCAAACACACAGCCTCAGGGGTAGTTACTGCTCTATTAGTCTATGTGGACGATATAATCGTTATTGGGAATGATAAAAAGGAGAAGGAAGCATTGAAAAACTGCCTGGCCAGAGAATTTAAGATAAAAGACTTGGGGAGACTAAAGTATTTTCTCGGAATTGAAGTTGCACAATCTAAACAAGGCATCTTTATCTCTCAACAAAAGTATGTTGTTGATCTTTTGAGAGAAACAGGAAATATGGCATGTAAACCAGCTTCCACGCCTATAGATCCCAATCATAAACTTGGAGAATCCAGCGAGAATGCAAGTGTAGACAAGGAGATGTTCCAAAGACTGGTTGGAAAACTCATTTATCTTGCACATACACGGCYRRATATTGCATAYGHTGTAAGTGTAATAAGTCAGTTTATGCATAATCCTAAAGAAGTTCATCTACAGGCTGCTCATCGAATTCTGCATTTTTTGAAAGCCAATCTAGGGAAAGGAATTTTATTCAGAAGGAATGGGGGACTGGCTCTTGAAGCATATAC